CTGTGGAAGGAGAAATGCGGTGAGGAGGCAGCTGGTGACATGGAGGTGCTAACTGTTATTTGATCTTTTCTTTGGAGGACCTCATTGGCATATGAATGTTCTCCTTAATTTCGCTCACTTCTTATTCATATATAATTACAAACACACTCACGGACGCTCAAATGTATGTGTGTGTGTGTGTGTGTGTGTGTGTGTGTGTGTGTGTGTGTGTGTGTGTGTGTGTGTGTGTGTGTGTGCGTGTTGTGTGTGTGTGTGTGTGTGTGTGTGTGTGTGTGTGTGTGTGTGTGTGTGTGTGTGTGTGTGTGTGTGTGCGTTCGTGTGTGTGTGTGTGTGTGCATGTGTAAAAGTATGTCTATGTGTATGTGTAATTGCCACACCTTTTATCTGTTGATTTATTCAAGTGTTATTTTCATTGTTACTATCACCATTATCATAATTCTTATTCTTTATTTTCTATTTACTATTTTTTGCAAAACCCTCGCTCTTTCTTTTCCTTATCATGCATTGTCTTGGTCTTGGCGCAAGTCCAGTGTATGCTGTAACGAAATGTCTAACAATGTCTCCACACCAGACGAATATGAGACACTGCTGTAATACACATCGGTAGTAATGCGTATTTACGTATAAACATCAGTACATTCTGCACAGACATACGTAGATAAAAATATATATAGGGACACACATACACGCACACACATACGAGAGAGAGAGAGAGAGAGAGAGAGAGAGAGAGAGAGAGAGAGAGAGAGAGAGAGAGAGAGAGAGAGAGAGAGAGAGAGAGAGAGAGAGAGAGAGAGAGATTCCCCTGGCATTCACGGGCTAGTGACCTTAGCAACCCAAGATCACTTTTACCGCATAGATACCTGTGGTTTCGGGCAATAAAAAATACAAAGGCATTCTTTAAATAACAGATAAGATATGTACAATACAAATAAAGACCCTTTTATCTAGATCAAATTCACTTTTTTTCTTGTACAGGCGCTTTCCTTCTCGCCTAAGAAAAGTAAAGTAAATGAAATAAATAAATAAATAGATAATAAAAAAAAAAAAATCAGGAAAGAAAAAGTGAAGATGAAAGTGAAAGTGAAAGTGAAAAGGATAGTAATCACGATGATTTTCATGATAATAGTAATGATCAAGATAGCAGAAATGCTATTGATAATAATTATTATGATACTACTACTAATAATAATAATAATGAGTGATGATGATGATGATGATGATGATGATGATGATGATGATGATGATGATGATGATGATGATGATGATGATGATGATGATGATGAAGATGATGATGATAATGATGCTTAAGGTGATAATAATATTATAGCAATAATAAGAATAGTAACAATAATAATAACACCCCCGCCAGCAACAAAAACAACAGCACTTTTACTACTACTACTAATATCGACAGTAATAACAGCAGTAGTAAAAGCAATGATAATAATAATTATGATGGTGGTTATGATGATGATGATAATGATGATAATTATAACAATGGCAATAATAGTGATAGCATTAATTCTAATGATGATGATGATGATGACGATGATGACGATGATATTAATAATAATAGTATTGTTAATAGTAAAATAATAACAATGATAATGATAACTCTAACAATAATTATAACAGTAATGATAATAGCAGAAGTAACAGCAGCAAAAATACTAACGACAATAATAACACTAACAGGAATTATGAAAAGAATACTAAAAGTGACAATAAAAATAATGAAAACATTGATAATATTAATAGTATTAGTACTAGTAGTACTGTTAACAATAACAATATGACGTTAATGGTAATTTTGATATTCAAAATTGAAATGACAATAACAACAATAAATACTACAACTGCTAAGAACAATGATAATACCAATAACACTAGTAATACTGAAAATAATGATGATAATAATAATGATCATGACAATAATATTACTACTAATAATAATAACGATATCAATAATGATAACAAGAACAACACGAGCAATAATAATGACAATAACAATAATTTTACTTCTCTAATAGGGTTGCCAATTTGTTGTCTTTCGCGCTAGATTTAGCGCTCTCTAGCGTTATTTAACTCCAATTCACCATTTTCCATTTTAACACCAACTTCAATACTCATTAATTATTATTTTTTTAATCGAAAAAGTAGTTTAGATTCAGAACCAACAAAATTAATTGGAAAAATACACAGGTGCGTAAGTGATGAATCTACTACTCTTGGACGGGGCCCCGTTCTGTCAAGTTTCCATACCGCGAAAAAATCCTCTTCATTTCACGATTTCACACAAACTCTTATAGGTCGCCGTCGCATGCGATATTTGTGAATCAAGAAAGGTAATTCACAAACAGTATAAAGTAGCTGCAGCATTTCGACATCAAGTGACTGGACGATCCTAACACTAAAAGCCGGTTGAAGAAAATGAATGTTGATGATACAAGACACCGATGCAGATGTTCTCAGATTTCCGTGGCGGACAAACTGAGTGACACTGACAGGCACAGAAACACAACTAAATGCAAAAAAAAAAAAAAAAAAAATTGAGGAACCATTCAAGTAACGAAGGCAGCTCAAACTTCGGTAAAAAAAAAAAGAAAAAAAGTAATGATGTTCAGTAAGGTAAAGGATAATATATGATTATTCATTACCGAACACTGATAGTGCTTTGCGGTGTGAAAAAATTCAGGAAACAGTGTAAAGACGTGAAAGTTTAAAGGTCAGAGTGTAGTACCGTTAACTAGATTACCTTGTTCTCTATTCTGTACATGATTCTGAGTGTAATAATGCAAAATCAGCTCATATACAGATGGAAGTGCCTGTGTCAGTCTTTTGGGTATAACCATAAGGTACTACTTTCAGAGAAACAGAAACAATAATAAATAGTGGTTACATTCTTGGAACTCGTTAATGTCTGTGAATGGTTTTCTGAAGCCAAATGCAAGTCGCTGAAAAAATATCCTGCAGACATGATTTATTGAACCTTGTTGGACTTGGCACTGATAATGCCATCAGTTATGACTGGGATTGAGAGCGTTGTGTTTACCAAACTGAAATTTGATGATCCTCATTTGATATCAGTTAAATATACACCATCCATGGCTATGTCCTGTGATTTGCTTCATTTCATCGTTTTCGTAGTAACTTATTGGTTAATAAACCTCAGCTAGGATAGCAATTTGAATAGAAAGTGACTAAACACTAAACGGAAGTGGCATCCATCGAAGGTGCATTATTATTTTTTATCATTATTTATAAAGCTTGCAACTCAACGTCACCAGCATTTAGCTTTAAACTCTCAATGCTACAATGGCGTGCTTAAGTATCAATAAAGTCAGATATGACAGATATATAATCTCATTACCTTTCTGGCGTACAGCGTGACTTCAGTAAATTGGGTCTTATCTGAAAACTACGTGTCATTTTAAATATTGAGTTTAAAAACTGTGCTGTACGTATTGCAAATACACAAAATATACAGACACAAAAATTACCAAAAGAAAGGTATCGGAAAAAATGAATGATGCGTATCATTGATCTACACCACAGCCATCGGAGGAGCTTTGCAGAGTGGGACATGTCAAGGTCTAATGAAAGGTAACTATATTGGTAATTAAACACACACACACGCGCGCGCGCGCGCATACGCACACATACACACATATGTATATATCAGACAATTTTTATCATCATCGTAGCGATGATAATAATAATTCTAGTAATTATGGTACTGATAAAAATTATAGTGATAATGATATTACAATTACTAGTGCTAGTAACAATAACAATGATACTGATAATGATAGTAGGTAAAAAACTGTAACAGATCTTAATAATGATGATTGGAATAATACTAATATTGATAATACTAATAATACTGATAATAGAGATCAGTAGAGAATAAAAACAATAAGAAATAAAAAAGAGTAATTATAAAATTGAAATAGAAACAACAATGATATCGATGATATCAGTAATATAATGAAATGATAGTTAACTTTATATTGGTAATGAAAATAAGACAACTACTACAACTAAAAATAAACATTATGGTAGTCTGATACTGTAACAGCAATAATGATAATAATAATAAGAATAAGAGTAATAATAATGAAAATAGTTAACAATTATTACTAATGATTAAAATAATGATAATAACAATGATATAGATGCCAATACTAATTTTAATGTTAATGATAATGAGAGCAACAATTAAGATAATAATCATGATCTTAATAACAACGATAATGATATGAATGATTGTAAAAGTAATGTTAATGGATATAGTTGATGACTATGATAACAGTGATGACAGTGGTAATGATAATGCCAATTAGTATTAGTATCAATGAGAATACTAATGATGCTGATAATGATAATAATAACGATAATAAATGATAATAATAATTATAATAATGAGTAATGGTAATAATAATCATAATAATTTTTAAAAAATGATGACACTATTACTAATAATAACGATACTGACAATAATTCTAGTAATGGTGATGCTGGTGATACATATTACAACTGCTGCTGAAGATGATAATGATTATCATTTATATTATCATAACATGGTGACAGTGATCGGGATAATAATGATGGTAAATTGATACTACTACTACTACTACTACTACTACTACTACTAATGATGATGATTATAACGATAAAGCTAATAATTATGGTAAATGTAATACAATTATGATAATGATGATAATAATGATAATAATAATAATGGTAACGACAGTATTAATAATACTTATCATAATCATATTAATAATAGTAATAATAATAGTAATAATGATAATAATAATATTAGTAATGTAATAGTAATGATTATAATAATGATAATAGTGATAAAAAGGATGATTTTCATAGCAAAAGTAATAATAATAAAAATAATAATCACAATGCTAACAGTAATAAGTAATAAAAAATAACAAAAAGGATAATAATAATAATAATAATAACGATTATACTTAGGGTAAGGC